GTAAGAGTAGCGTAGTCGAGGCGCCTAATCTTACTCGCTTAACGAATAATCTTATAGCTATTACTTAAGTCGGTCGTATTATAAGTATCTCGCCTGCTCCTCGTATATATCTATAATGCTAACCGTTTATATAGTAGTTAGAGATAATAGGGTAGTCTACTAATACCTTCGATGCTGCCCTTACTAGAAACGAGCTATTCGAGGAGGAGTCCGAGGCGGAGGAGAATAAGTTCGAGTAGAGTGCTTAGCGCGTTCTCTAGGCTTACGTAGCGTATACGCCTATCTTATAGTACAGTCTATAAAGTAATCCCCTTTAGGTATAACCGTAATAAAACTACTTAATTCTTATTACTCTTCTTCTATTTTACTCCGCTCTACTTCCGAGCCTCTTTTACTACGCGGCCTCTATATATACGCGGAGCCTACGCCTCGAACCTATTAAGAGCTTCGTAGTCTTTAATATATATACTAGGTTCCTACTAGTTATATTCTAATAGCTATCTACGCTACTTTACTAAATAAAACGTTTCGCCCTTCTATACCTTCTTATTAAGAATCTCTTTAACCTCCTACTACCTATCCTCGTCGACTATAAGTAGTATGCGCTCCTCTTACGCTTTACTCTTCCGGCTAGAATATAGCTCTAATAGAGTAACGTAGAAGACGTTATAGATCCTTACTAAGGTAGGTAACTATAAGCGATACGCCTAAGTCCCGATTACGTTAATTACGCGGTATAGGCCTAGCTATTTAGGTTCTATYTTCTTTTTGCCCTCTAGCTTAAGGTTCTTCGTAGAAAGAAGCACTAAATTACTAATATTAAAGCTTATAGGCTTGTAGTTCTTATTATAGTACTTTAACTATTGCTCTTTAGCTTTATACTATCGCTTAGTAAGTTCCTTATATACGCTACGTATACGCTTCGCTAAGTCGATAGCAGCCGGCATTCTCCCTTCTAAGAGCTCGTTCTAAGCGATATCTTAGGTATTAGCGCCGTCGCCTAGAGGGCGCGTCGCTAGCTCTAGGTTCTATCTATAGAGGATTTAGAAAGGGCTTATTCTAAGGCCCGCGTACACGCTATTATTATACGCAAATTTAGCTATAAGTAGCTATTACGCCTAGCTATCCTACTACGTGCCGTAGTAGCAGCGTAGGTATTACTTAAGCGTCTAATTAGCTTTCTTAGTCTATCTATCCGTCTAAGGGTAGAAGGCTATACTTAGCTTATACTTTATATACGCTTCGTAGTAGAAGTTAGACTAGTATTAGCTAGTAAAAACCGAGCCTCTATTACTAATAATACCTACTAGTACGCCGTATTTACAAACTACGTAAGATATAAAGATATCCGCTAGCTCTACTATATTATATTACTTAGTAGTAGGGATAAATAAAGCTATCTTGCTATAGCGGTCGACGATTACGAGTACCGTAGTATAGACACTATCTCCGCGCTTACTAGGAGGTAGGTTCGTAATAAAGTCTATACTAATTTCTTACTATGCTCGATCCGGTATAGGTAATAGAACTATTACTCTATAGGGGCGGTAGTACCGCGCCTTACTTACGAGGCATATATAGCACCCCTTAATATACTCTACGATATTAGTAGCTATATGTAGCTAGTAGTACTTCCGCTAAAGTAACTCGAGCGTCTTCGCCTTTCTAAAGTGTCCGGCGAGAGCGTTATCGTAGTATATACGTATTAGTTACGTACGTAAAGCGTAGTCTTTCGGAATATATAGGGCATCGCCGTAGAATAATGTTCTATCCTTAATAATGTAGCCTTTATACTCGCCCTTCTCCCTAGCCGCGTCGCGTATACTCGAAGTATCCGCGTCTACGTTTACTAGTGCTTTAGCATAACCGAGTATTAGGTCTGGAATATTTCTAAGGGCTAAGTCTATAGCTACTAGGACGGCTATAATACGCCTAAGTAGCGAAAGCTCGCTATATACTCTAGTAGGTAGTAATCCCTTATACTTAATCGCGTAGTATATAGCTCTTACTCTTCTAATAGAGGGCTCTAGCTCGCTTCGAAGAGCTTTATTAGATTACTAGTTCTRAAGTTTGCTTTATAGTATAGGTAATAGTATRCTTATATACTAAGACGACTCCGTYRTACTMGTTTCGTAGTCGCTACGCCTACTCGGACTATCCGTAGGGTTCTTTATCCCTACGCGATATTCGATAGTAAAGTTAAAGGGCGCTAATTAAACCGCCTATCGTGCCTATTAACTAACTAACTATTTTATCGTTATAAAAGCTTTAAGGTTAGTATAGTCGACGATTACTTAAATCGCATACGTAGCGCTATCGAGGTACGGGCGCTACTACTTAAACGTACTTACTACTATAAGTAGCTCTTTATCGTAGGTCTTATAATTATATTCGGCCGGA